CCCCTTTTTTTTTTTATTTTTTTTTTTTTTTTTTTTTTTTTTAATATTTCCAGTGCAAAATACTACTCCTACTCTATGGGCTGGCACGAACAATGGGACAGTATATGTGTTCACCCTGGCTATACCAGCTGGTGTTCGCCGAACCGAGGAGGACGTGAATTGTACACTTGGAAAGGAAATTCAATTAAAGCATCGAGCCCCAGTTGTTGCCATAACAATTCTCGATGGATCCAGCGTACCTCTTCCGGAGCCATTCGAAGCCGAAAAAGGTGTTTGTCCGGGTCCTGATATGGCTTCACCGCATAGAGTAGTAATAGCCAGCGAAGAACAGTTCAAAATCTTCAATCTGCCGTCGCTCAAACCATTCTGCAAGTATAAGCTGACTGCTCATGAAGGATCCAGGGTACGGAAGACAGGATTTGCAAAATTCCAGTGTCAGGTCGAACCTGCTGGCATCCACGAGGAAACTTGTCTTTTATGTCTCACCAATCTTGGTGACTGTTTGATTTTGAGCGTTCCTGAACTTCGAAGACAGTTGAATGCTGCTGCTATCAAACGGGAAGATATAAAGTAAGTACAATTCCAAAAGGACTGATTCGATATTTCGAAAATCATTTACAATTAGAGTTCATTGAAAGTTTTGAATGAGTTTTTGTATAAATGATCTGTCTGTGTTCAGTGGTATCTCTTCATTGACGTTCACAAGAGCTGGCGAAGCTCTATATCTTCATTCGAGTTCAGAACTTCAGCGCATATCTCTATCGGCTACTAAGGTGAAGCGGGTTCAATGTGCCTTGAAACTGCCACCTAATGCCAGGGCGCCAGTGGAGCCTGCAGAGGAAGTTCAGAATCAAGGTACTGTGGAAGGCAGAGCGGACACCGAAGGTGAGACACAAGGAAGCCAGCCAGTAGCAGCACCAAGAACAATTACTGAGAACGGAACAGTTGGATCAAGTGAGTAATATAAAATTTCCATACAAATACAGTTAGAACAGAAATAAGTTCTTTGGTAAGAATTGACATTAGAATCATATGCGTATTTTGCTTGGCATAAGTAACACAGTGTATATATGTGTGCTTCGCTGTGTCTTGATAAATCTAACCTTTACATAACATCATCTGGAAGACAACAAAGAATTTTTACTGTACAAAAACTATCTGACGATTCTACTAATATAGAAGAAACATACAAAAATTAGATTTGAACAGAGAATGCAGGTGATCAAGCAATGTTTCCTCGATTTTCGGACGGATATCTTTTAGCACCTGGTGAAGATTCATCGAAGGAACCTTCCCTGAGACCGGCAGCAAGTACTAACGAGGTCAATGGCGACGATGACAGGCAGGATTTGAGCTCGATTGGTGACATTACTATTGACAGTGTCAAGGATCACTTACTGTAAGTGAAAATAAATATTAATATAATTGTAATACTGGCACGGCTTATTAAACAGCGATAGGATGAGGTTAAGTTGTGTTATATCAGGTCAGATTAGGTTAGAGTTTATTTAATAAATTCTTCTTCATTTGCAATGCTAATGATTTCTTGGTACTTGTGTACTGGCCATCCTTTGGCAGTAACAGTTCGCTTTTTAGAAGTGCCACATCCTCCGAAGAACTTCACAGTCGTTTAGCAGGTCTTAAGATGGAGGTGACGTCTAGAACATCTGAAATATCTACACAGAATCAGTCTCTCGTTGTAAAGACGACTACTGTCATATCCCAGGCACCGAGCAATGGAAATGCTACCAATGGCGAGGTGGAGAACAACCAGGGTAACGATGGCCAACAAGTTAACAGTGAGTCCAGAAGATCAGAAGACATCTAGATAATTATAAAAATATACTTTCTCCATGAGTCACATAATAGAGATTCTCTTGCAGGTCTTACGGGTTGATTATTTTATTATTTGTATCTTTATTTTTTTATTTCTTAACAAATTTCAGTATTTTCTATCGTAAACTGTTTGAACTTTATATTTTTGCTATATATTTCTTGTACCGTTTATATGATGTCACTGGTGATTCCTTGTATGTCACACGTCTACACGCTTATGTGATCTTTCATTGTGTCTTTTTTCTAACTTTATTTATGCGATTGATTTCTAAACAGTTGTTTCTACATTGTTTTTCTTCAGTTGTTCTTTTTTTTTTCTTGTACTCTCTACTGTTTTCATATAGGCACCATGGTAGAGCGTGAGATTAGCAGTGGAACTGAAACAACGACGACACACGCGACCATCACGTTGCCCCCGAATGTTGAGGTCAGCAAAAGGGCAATGAATCATTTTTTTTCTCTTAATAATCCTGTACCAAAATAAATATTATCAGGTTCCCACTAGACAAACATAATACAATAGAAAGACCATAACTTAGAGAATGAAGAAACATATATTATGTAGACGCGTCAACGGTGAATTATATTACTCGATCGCAAAGAGGGCGGGTAGTGTAACCACACCTGAAATATTTTGATACAGGCTTATTACATTTTTTTTAACTGGAGGTTTAATGGTGCATAAGGTTAACAATGTATTAACAACGTACTAAAACGCTTAATGTATCGTTAACGCTACTAACAAGCTTTACCGTAAAGTAGTTAACGTTTTCTAACAGTTTTACTTTTTTTTTATTGACACAATGAATATTATAAAATAGATATGATTATAATGCTATCGATTACATAATGGTCGTACGCTGTTTTGATCTTACTTCTCTCTTCTTTTTAAATCTAGAAGCTTGAGTCAAATTAGTTTGGTGTATGGTAATTCTTCAACATCAGGATCTTGCCAGCCGTGTCACGCGTATTTTTTATTTCTGGCCAAAACGCGGGACATGTCCACAAAAGTTTACAGTATCTAACGATATAAATTTTGTTTGCAGATTAGTGCAGCCGAATTGGCGAACCTCGAAGTTACAACTACGACCACGACTACGGAGAAATCAAAGGCGCCACTGGCGAGGCCTGAGGAAGTCGGTTCCTAGAAATTCACGGCCACACCTACTTCTTGAACCCTTATCATGGTCGGACTCCGTGGAACGTCGATATATATATATAAAAGCATATATATATATAATATGATCCAGCAGCACCACGTCTCACGCAAAGAGCAAATAATAATAGTTTAGAAAGTCCCTACTTAAATAAAAGAACGTGTACACAGGCGGAGATATGTAGGATTTATATACAAGTTAGATTTTTTAAAAAATCTAGATTTATACGCGAGAAACATTATTATTATTATTATTATTATTAACATTATCATCATCACTGTTGTAAAGGAGAAAGTGTCCTGATTGCATTAGAGCATCTACTAGAGAAAGGGAGGGAATAGATGACATTGTGACGTAAATGTGTCCTTTCTATTGTTTAGTGGCGGACGAAAGGAACGGAGTTTGTTAATTTATCCATTTTAGATTGCCGTGAAAACCATTGCATTTTAAAAACGAGAGAGAAACGCAAAGACGTTGAGGATTCAAACAAACAAATGAAATTTATCCCGTGCAGTATTTAAAACTTAAAAAGTAGCTTTCAATCGTCGTGCTGTCACATGCCTTTGATGATTTAGGGGCTAATTTTTATCCCTGTTTTTAAATTGTCGATGCCTGCTTTAACTCTTTTGAGCAAATCTTATTAAAATAAAAGAATGAGGGAGGACAGCTACTGCGAGCGACCACGCGACTTAAATCGTCATTTTTATTATAAGAATAAAATAATCCTTAGGACACGATATCATGTAGAAGAGTTAGATTTAAGGCAAGTTTTTATTATGAGAGTTTAACGAGTAAAGGAAATAACCATTTTTCTCCCTTTTCTCTTTATTTTAAGTATTAATTTTGTTTAACTCTCTAGATTGAGGTACGAGAGTAGATTTTTTTGTTTGGATACACATATATGTACATGCGCGCATACATAGATACATCACAAATTGTGAGTACGGCAGCCATAACGTAGTTTTTATGCGCATCAATGGAAGACTTTCGACTATGTGTTTTCATCTTTCCCTTTTATAATAATCTATTCTAATTTACTGTTTTTTTTTTTCATTCTATCTTTTTCCCTCCACGACAACGCAACTTAAGCCGCTTTCAGTATTCCACTTTATTTTTTTCTTTTATTTCTCTCGAGCCTCCATTAGTCGGCCGGCCGGAATTCTTGTGCGGAACTGACGTGTTTATACAATTGCTATTACTTAACGGAAAGAGTAAAGAAACAACAGCTATAGCAATAACAGCAATGATAAAACACATGTCACTAAGGATATTAGAAGCCGCGGCGTAATTTAATTGTGAAATGCGCGGTAATATGAAATATAAAAGTAAAAGAAAAAAAAAAAAAAACATGCACATACAGGCAAATATATATATACACATATATATTTTTATCAATGTTGCTTAATGGTAAGTCTCGTTCTCCCCCGCACTTATTCGTGAAGGTACAAAACTCGTGTTTTGTAATAACGAGCCTTTGTTTTTATTATATAGAGAAGGAAAAGAAATTAGGAGAGTCGATTAGGTTTCCTACTTTTTCAATTAGGTTGTATATGTTTCCTCTTTCTTTTAAACTACTAGCTAATCCTTTTATGTTATATCTACGTTCGCTTAAGTAGACCCATTTTAATCGTTCATGAAAACGTTCTTTTTTATAATTATAATTATGTCTTTTATTTTTAATTTTTTTTTTTTGTTGGTGGAGGACAATTTCCAGCCTATTATTTTCTAATCTTAGACAGAGGAAGATATCTATTTTTTTTCCGTATTAGATGTGAATAGCAATAAAAATATTTGCGAGCTCTTACTCCTTGAACTCTTGAAGACGAAGAAAAATATGCAAAATTTATATCAGCGCCATCTCGTCGATATAAACTTAATTTATCCACTGCCTGTATGTTTCGATCTCGATATAATAAATGTTTTGAAGAAATAGGAAGGACCAAAAAAATCGCAACAAAGGCGCGAAAACGAAAAAAAGATGCTTGTTGACTTGAAACGAGAGTACAGATTTATCTTCCAGTATATATAATTTCCATACTTCTGCTGATAGTGATTTTTTTCTATTTTTGTTTGTTTTTAATGTTAATTTATTATTACTATTATTGTACGCGATGTGCTGTTTTACTGTACGTATGATATGTATTAATAAGTTTAACGTCGAGGCCTTTGTAGATAGATTATTTGAGAAATGAAAGGATATTCAATAATTTCAGTTTTCCGCCATTTTGAATCGTATAATTCCTTAGGATTGCATAAGATCTTATTAACTAAAGAATAAATTAATATCATTAAAAGTAATGGCAGTGTTATCATGGTCGAAAACATTTGATAATATAAATTATGTGATGTAATGTATCGAATGACGAGATGAATTACTCTTAACAGAGTAATCAAATCTTTTAAATCTGGATACAAGTTGTCACTTGTCTATCACTACTAGTTTGTGTCTGTTTTTTGTAATTTCAATGATCGCCTTCATTTTCTATTCACATATCGAATATTCCACGTGAGCTTACGGGAATGTTTCTATAAAATTTCCCAACTATTTTTCTGTGACTTCAAGGTGTTATTAGGTACTGTTTATAATTGCGCGTAAAGAAACTATGAGATCCGTAATTCGATGAGATTGTCCGATTCTATATAATATTGAAAAATTTGAAAATATTTTAAAAAGCTCGTAAATTTATATAAAGAAACTCATGTCTAATACCTTTTTTATTTATGAAAAACAAAAATTAAAAACAAAACCACGGAGTTCCACACCGCTCTATAAAGAATACTATTTCAAAGAGGTTGAAAATTTTTCTTATTGAATTATTATCTTATCTTAAATATAATCTGCTATAACATCATTTAATATTTACGTTAATTAATTTATTTTGAAAGGAAAAAGAAATTGAAAAAAAAAACCATGCGAATTCTGAACTTTGTTTTCGTCATCAATACTTTTCTTACACGTGTAAACCTAACTTTTCTTACACGAATTAATATAAATTTTGGGAAAGTTCATTCAAGAACTCTGCTGTATGCTAATTCAGATATACTTCCTTCCTTCCTTTCCTTATGGCTGACTCCTCCAATGAGGAGATGTGCCAGGTCTTGAGATATACTTAAAACAACTTATGGAATAGTTAGAGATGAGTAGGGAGATACACAATGCTACGGTTTTAGGCGATATCAAAAGCATGGCGCTAAATCGTAGCTGCGAGTTCGCAAGTAGGGTTTTGTGATCATCGCCTCCGTCGATAATGCGTATCCCGTCATAGTAGAGTTGAACGTGATCACGAACGTATAGTTTGGCGGCCAGTGGTTCTTCGCCACTCACCGCTGGTTCCCAAAGCAACATTCCGAACGAGGCCGCTTATAAGATATTGCCTAAATATATTTTTTCTTTACAATCTTAAGTTTGAGCACACAGTGTAAGCTCGATGAGATTTACTATGACAGAAGCCAAACCACTGTGAAGTAGGTCCTTTATTATGAAAATTAAAAAAAAGAAAATTGGAGTTCTGCTTGCTTCCCGAAAAATTCTAGAATTCCTGACAGCTTTCAGAAGTAGTTGTGTCGAGTAAATGCAAAAAAGAGCGATATTCGGAAATGGGGGGCCAACTTCACGGCGCCCCCCCATTTTTGAAAAAATGTAATTTTTTGGCAGTTCTGAATATATTAACAAATAGTTCTACAGTTCTCTGCACCTTTCATAAAAAGTTCCGGTCATTATCCGCTTGAAAATAAAGTTTGAAGAAATACGTCAGCCCCCCATCTTTTAAAAAGTCGTATTTCTTTTAGTTTTCCAATACATATCCTGGTTCCATCAAAAAATCATTTTCAAATAAGTATTTCGAAAAATAAATTAATCGTATAAAATCCAATACACCCGAAATACTAGATCGATTAATCAAGTTCAGGTATTCGTTTTGTAGAACTCTTTGAGAACTATCCGGAACTCCGAATTTTTTTTCGGAATCTACCCTACTTGCTACGGAGAATCTTCAAAGTCCCGAAACTCTTTCAATTTAAGTTTCTCAGCGTTTTACCATTAGAATCCAAAAAGCTTGTTACCATTAGAACTGCCAAAAAAATGACATTTTTTTAAAAATAGGGGCCTCGTCAAGTTGGCTCCCCATTTCCGAATATCGCTAATTTTTACATTTAATCGACAGAACTATTTCTGAAAACTGTCAGGAACTCTAGAACTCTTCCAGGGGCAAGCAGAACTCTAATTTTCTTTTTTAATTTTCATAATAAGGGGCCAACTTTACAGAGTGCTATACTGGTGCTAAGTTGGCAACGCAATTTCTTAAAAATGTTTAACAATAGGTTTTTTCAACAGTTCTCGAAGAGTTCTATAGTTGCTGATAGGTTTTAACAATAGCTCTGTTATGTAACATCGTAAAACACGTATATAATTTTACAAACATTGAGGTGGCACGGCAATTTCTCAAAAATGTATCAACAATAGGCTTTTTCAATTGTTCTTGAGGTGTTCTATGGTTCTTAACAGGTTTTAAGAATAGTTCTGCTACGCAACATCGGTAAGGTAAACTATCTATTAAAGATACTGGTGGCATCATACGCTTCAGTGCAAGCAGGCATGAGGGTGTTGGCTTTTGTCGTAGTAAATCTTATCGAGCTTACACTGTGTGCTCGAACTTAAGATTGCAAAGAAAAAAAATATATAGGCAATATCTGTTGAGCATCCTCGTTCTAGCACTGACCTATGAATACGGACCAGTGTTGTATTGGGAACCAGCGGTGAGTGGCGGAGAACCTCTGCCCGCCAAGCTTTACGTTCGTGATCACGTTCAACTCGGCTACGACGGGATACGCATTATCGATGGAGGCGATGATCACAAAATCCTACTTGCGGATTCGCCGCTACGATTTAGCGCCATGCTTTTGGTATCGCTTAAAACTATAGCGTTGTGCATCTCCCTACTCATCTCTGATTAAATAACATGTTTGTCACCAATTGAAAATTCTTTAAAGTAGTTTAAGATGCCACGCGATGGCGCCAGTAGTACGACTGATATCGGCCGGAAATCCGATGATCCAAATAGATCATCGCGCCGCGTGGTGTCGCTTTTGAATATCGCAAAATTGTGTCCCGTTGCGCTGTTTCCTTTCCAATAAAAACAGGGTACTCCAGTCTCTGGTTCCTAGTGGGAAGGGGATGTTCCTTGGTGTTCGTCGCGAAGTGTCTCAATGATAAAGTTGCGAAAGATGCGAGTATCGTGTGTGGAGTGCATCAAAGTGCGCTCGTGAGGGTGTTTTAAAGTCGTAGGTCATCTACGGGTATATATGCATCAGTAAAGAAGAGGATCTTCGCGATAGTGAAAAGAATTCATCTTACACTCTCGAGAGCCAGAGTCGAAAAATCGCAGATGCTGTTGGCTGGCTTACAGCTGAATGACTTCCATACTGGCTGGACAATCATTATTAACCTCAAAAGAGTGCCAGAACAACAACCACAAAGCACAAAAGTTCGATTGTGATAAAGGAGCGGGCGAGAATTGCTACAGTTCAGTCAATTCTGGCGGCCATTTTCTCGTTATTTACGTTAGGGGCGCTCTTGTGGACGATAGCAGCGCCACCAACGGATCTCTAACCGAATCAGAAGCCTGTCGAGGAGAAAGAACAAATGCCCCTAAGTCCGCCAGCGGGAGCACGATCAAACATGGTGGTCCAGGCCCCACCGAGCCTATAACACGACACGCCAAGTCGCTACGTGCCTTCGGCCGTCCGTAGACAGTTCGGATTTCGTGGTACACCTTGTGCACATCTTCCTCGTGGGCCCGCGAGCCTGGAAGATGGAGCTGCGTGTCGGGAATAAGTACCGGCTCGGACGGAAAATCGGGAGCGGCTCCTTCGGCGACATTTATCTAGGTAACTATGACTTCCCCTTCTGTTCCGGGCAAGACATTGCCAGCCACACATGATATGACTTCACAGATCCCAGTGCAATATACGTATTATATTCTTTTTTTTTACTTTTCTTCGCTTTTCCTAATCATTGATCTTATCCTTTGCTTAAAACATGCTTCAGAATACGGTAGACAATTGTTTTGTTAGACCTTCTCATTTCTAGCATCTCAAGTTATTGTTGTTCCTTCTCCATAGGTACCAATATCTCCACAGGCGAGGAAGTCGCCATCAAGCTGGAATGCATAAAAACGCGACACCCTCAACTACACATAGAGTCCAAGTTCTACAAGATGATGCAGGGTGGTGGTAAGTCCTATCAGAGACTTCTAATTTCACAATGAAGGCACTTTCAGCTAGATTTGAATTTTTAAGAAAAAATAATTGTAATAACATACAGGGAACTGTCAAACTGCTTTGTTTGTTTGATTCACATTTAGTTAGATCGCCTATTCCGATTGAATACTTTTTAATATTTTCCTTTTCTTGATGCATTTTTTGTTGTTGTAAGCTATTCAACTTGGTTCCTTCTGCATGCTATAACACACAGTTGGCTCTATATAGGATCATGATATTTTATTAAATTTCTTTGAAATTTCCAGAACCACTATATTTCATAATATACGTATAATATTACAGTTGGCATCCCTACGATAAAATGGTGTGGATCGGAAGGTGATTACAATGTGATGGTGATGGAGCTGCTAGGTCCATCCTTGGAAGATCTATTTAATTTCTGCTCCAGAAGATTTACTCTCAAGACAGTCCTTCTTCTTGCGGATCAGCTAGTAAGTTTAACTTTGCCGAAATACATCCATTCTCATAAGTTCAATGATGTCACTTTCTTTTGGGATTCATCATATGTCTTCTTGATGACAAAAATTCTTCCACAGCTGATTTAGTTAGTTTATATGCCTTGGTCATGCTCTACTTAATTTGGTATCCAACTAGGTCGTCCTACACGACATAATTTCTGTTGTGTGCTTTGTTTGTCACGTATGTTTTTCAATTTCGACGTAAGCAAAATAAAACATGACACACGCGTATTTCCTTATGCAATTTACTGGAAGATCGTAGTTTGATAAAGCCCCTTTTATTTTCTTTCTTATTCAGAGATAAAAGACAATGATTGCGTACATTCTTTCTTCTCAAGATTATTGCTTATGTTGAGCACACTAATAATGCATTTGATTCGTTAAGTTTTATATTTATCGACCAATGAGTAACGTTCGTTATCTGTACGTTAATCTACTAAACGCAACCATTATTTCTTTTGATACCAGTTCATTATTTGTTTGACTGACTCCTGAAAATGCAGACAATGTTCCGACACGAAGACAGGTCTAAAGTTCGTGCGACGATTACGTTGAAAACGCCTGTTGCTCGATTTTCTTAGTTAATCGAGTGAAGTCGTTTAAAGGCCATTGACATTTGAATGAAAAGCTTTATAACTGATGGGACATTCTAGAAGAAATACGTTTTTTCTTCTTTTGTTTTTAATATTTTTATTTTTTATCACGCTGTATGTTCATTATATTTATACAAATGTTATAATTCTCTCAGTTCTCTCTCTCTCGCTCTCGCAATTCCACGTAAACTTTCGATGTTGGCTCAAAGTGCAATTCGACAAAGAACTATTTTCGTATCATGCTAAATGCGGCCGACAAAAAAAAAGGAGAAGAATACGAAGCGCAAGTCTCCGAGAACTTGACTTATCTGAACCTGTAGCTAGGTATTCTAGAGGGTAAGGTCTTCGGGTACCGATACTAAATAACACTCTTTCTTTTGGCTGATGATACTTGTTCTCATATACTGCGCGTCATTTTTCATCTCTGTTTATTTTTTGATATATCTAGATTATTCTGTTATTAAATGCAAACAAAAATTAAGATATAAGATGTGTTATAAAAATATTTTCAAACTTTACATACAAATTTTCATTGGTTTGTCAGGCCGGACACTGATTATTTCTATTTAAAAATTTAACGTAATTGCAGAAAGATTAGTGTGACACTTAATATCAAAAACTGTTGTTCGATCATAAGTATTGCCCATTGTTGCGCAAACGTCAGGATCCAGAGATCGGTCCAAACGAAGACAATTAGCAGAATCAGTGACCCTGATACCTGGTCAAGCGTTACCTCAGTATCGGAGAGAAGACTCTCCGGCTACCACTGATAGTGGATACGTGTATTTATTATACAGGATGTTCTATGTTATGCGTCTAACCTTCTATAATTGAATTCATTGTGAGCAATCGTATACTGTAATGAAGTAAACAAAAAACTTTGTAGAATTTTTATTATAATTTTGTCACTAGATACTGAAAGGTATCTATAAGTATGTGAAATCGATATTATTGCATAAGTTTTTTATTGATAGCATCCAAATTATTTGCAAATATAACAAAGATTGCGCCTATATTACAAGTATAATTGAATATTTTAAAGATACAATAATATTTGAGTCATTGATTATGGGCAAATAGTTATTACAAGTTTAAAATAAAAAATGAGTTTTTTTCAATCGTTCATCTGTTTTGAAATCCTGCACTTATGAAACTTGTTGGATTGTTGATATTGTTGTCTAAAAAATAAAAAAAATGCTGTCTTACTTGCTATGAACTGCACCCTTTCAATAATATTGTTATGGTACAGTACAGCCTGTATATTAGCAGAATGTTAACAGAGGTTCGTTTCGCCTTGCAGATAAGTAGAACGGACTACATTCACAGTCGCCATTTTATTCACCGGGACATCAAGCCTGACAACTTCCTGATGGGCTTGGGGAAGAAAGGCAATCTCGTGTACATTATAGACTTTGGACTGGCTAAGAAATATCGCGATGGTCGCACTCACAAGCATATACCGTACCGAGAGAACAAGAATCTCACAGGAACGGCAAGATACGCCAGTATAAACACACATCTAGGAATCGAGCAGTCACGAAGGGACGACCTCGAATCTCTTGGTTACGTACTGATGTACTTCAACAGAGGCAGCTTACCTTGGCAGGGCTTGAAGGCTGCCACCAAGAGGCAAAAGTACGAGCGCATTTCCGAGAAAAAGATGTCTACGCCGATAGAGGAACTATGCAAAGGCTACCCAGGTATAGGAAGAGTCTCTTGGATAAGAGATATTTTTTAAGGTGAATGGCAGTCTAATGAGACTTTTTTTGTTTCATCACATTTAGCTGAATTCGCGACATATCTGAGGCACTGCAGACAGTTGCGCTTTGAGGAAAGGCCGGACTATCCTTACCTAAGGCAGCTCTTCCGGACACTCTTCCATAGCCAAGGTTTCACTTACGACTATGTCTTCGACTGGAATATGTTGAAGTTCGGTAATGGTAGACAACCGGCACTTCCATCGGCACAACAACCACCGACGCATTCTCAGCCCACTAATGCTGCAATACCATCCGGGGCCAATAACGATCAGGAACATCGATCGAGGTTAGTACTGAGTAATACTGTTTTTTTTTTTTAAAGGACCTGACCGAGGAGACATGATCTACACAATTACGACTAACGGTCTAATGTAACATAGTAATAGTTTGCACAGGTGTTTAGAATGGGTTTATTAGGCTGTTTGCAATTTGAGGTTATGTAGTGGTTACTTTCTCCGAGTTACAGACCGTACACGAGACAGTGTCTGGCGAATGCATCGGGGACGGCGGTGGGGCCGACGGTGGGAACGTCAGGACGCCGTCAGAAACACGAGGCGACGGACGCTCGCGGCGACCAGGACAATCAGGACAAGAGCGATCTGCAAGGTAAAATACAATTCTACCAACAATTCTGCGTGAGAGAGCAGCAGTCAGCTGCTGAGCGTAAGGCAGGGGTCACCAGAGATCAATCACAGCCATCAATGGCTGGTCTAGTCGAGACTAATAATCGTAGCACACCGAATCCTTCTCCGCCATCTCCGCCGGCAGGAGCTCCTTGTCAGTTCACTACCTTTAAATCCTCCCCTACTGGGTTTCATGAGATAACCGGTTCAGTCACTCCGGATCCTACCAAGTCTCTTGATTTGTCGACACTCACATTGGGACATCGCGAAATATCCCGTAACACTACAGACATAACGAACTCTGCCAGATCGAGGAATTATTACCAAGGTATGGTACAACCAAGGGATGCGAGTCCTAATAGGGAACCTCGTCACTTGGACAAGCAGAGCTATTTTTTTCATGGGCATAAAACTGAGAAAGACGTAGACCATCCGGATGTTCTGGTTTATGGGGCAGACGTGCCTGCTACTAGCAGAAGCTTCCTCGTCGAGACTATACGTAGTCAGGAAAAAGAATCATCGGAATATCGCGGAGACACTGCAGAGAACGTCGAGTTCTTGGAGAAGGAAGGTGAAATATTTCGCAAAAGTAGCACGGAGTTTCTCCAGGACTCCAATCCAAGTCGCAAGAGGAACTTTTCGTTTCGAAGCAAGGAAAAAACGCACAGAAGTCTAGAGTCCCTGGAGAGGAGTGTGGACTTTCTGGGTGTTGACGCACGGAGCCTCGACCTTCTTCCAGAGGACAGACCGAAGAATATATTTCATGGAAAGCAGCGTAGCTTGGATTCCTCGCAGAAATCTAAGAAATCCAATGACTCCCTGAACAAGGCTAGAAAACGACTTGGATTCTTCCAGAGGATGGGACGTAATTTGCACTTCATTGGAAGGAACCGTAACGAACCACGCTCTCAGGATTTTTTGAGATCTAACGAAGATCGTCCTAGCACTGGTGGCGACTATTTGCAGACGGGACAAGAGAAGTGCGAGTATTTTTTACAGAGGCACAGAAAGGACCTGAATTTTTTTGAGTGCGCTCCCGACCACCCTCCGAACGGTCGCGGCCAGGGCGAGTCGGATAGCTTCCATGAGCGCGACAATAGAAATCACCAGAAGGTCCACGCCGATGTCGCGCCGCCATTTCGTGTGGCGGAAAGCGTCCAACGGGAGCCTAATCGACCGGATGTAAAAACTCAGGAAGGATCAACACCAAAGGACAATTCTACACTTGTACCAGCAGAGGACCAAAAATCAAGGAGGCCGGACGACGATCATCTGTCAAATCCCGAATCAGAAATTGGTTTCTTGGGACGGGAGGCTAGTCTGGCCACTCAGGAGACAACTAGCGGCAACAAGGACAGCCTTGAAATAGGCTATTCCATAAGTCAACTAGGCAGACTTCATACCCAGAGTCTTCGAGCATCAAATCAACAACCGGATGGTCTTCCCTATGTGGATATCATTGATTTTGATAAGAGAGAACATTATCTGAACTGGATCGCAAGAGCGGATCTAGATGCTCTTAGTCGCGGCACAAATTCAAGTGACTCCCTTGGTAACGCCAAACCGCAGGGTAACCTCGATATTTTAAAAGGGATCCTTCTGGATTTATTTGTGTGCATCTGCATTTGAGTTGCATCACATTCATTTTATATTTCCACTCTTTTTTTTTTTTTTTTTTTTTTTTACGTTTTTGTGCAAACGCACAACGACGCATGCACATGCGGACGAGGATCTTGCGATGTCTCGAAAAGTTTCATCAGATCAACACGTTCCTTATCCACTCCTTCGTCGTACCATTGGGTAGAAATAGATCTCGTATGGCATCCTGTTTTTTTAATATATACATACATATATATATACATTTACATTGTATGGCATTTAGATGATTTTCTTACCGGATACATAACCTATTGTTTTTTTTTGTATTCTTTTTTTTTTTTTTGGATTTCGAGAAGACAAGTTCCAGTGTCTCTCCCGTCGTCATCTTAGATAATAGCGTTAATAATCTCGGAAGTTCATCTTCAATACGTCGCAATACCAAACCTGTAATTAATTAACAAATATATACGTACATACATATATATATATGTATATGTATATATACACACCACATACTTACTATTTATACACAGCAGAGAGAGATACGCGTAAATTATCTAGATAAGGTTGCAGCACATGTGTACATACGATTAGAGAACGTAGCGACGTGAGCCTTTTTTTTACCGTTTTATCCTCCACTTTCCTTTCTCTATTTACTTTACTCTCTCGATTATCTCTCTGACTCTATTTTTCATATTCGCTCTCTACTGTCCATGCATTCAAGGCTCATTCATAAATTTCGCAACTTGAACTTGTAAGGTGAAAAGAGTATGAATTTTTTTCCTCTTCTCAGGCGGTCGGAATCGAAAATGGCATAGGTTCTTTAAAAACATGAAGATTCAAGAAACTTAGGACTCTTTGCGGATATTCGCGTTCCTCGTCCTTATGATTAAGATAGTGTAATACCGTAGAAAGACGAGACACGGTGGAAAATGAATTTTCAAGACAAACGCAGAAAGGACAGCAGGCATAATAATGCAATTGCATAAGATTACACCAACGTGGACTACGTTTTCATATCGTATTTTAATCATTTTGACACTTTGTATTCCTTTCGTTGTTCATGCTTTCATTAGCCCCCTTTTACCCTTTCCCCATCGTGGTTCCTAATCACGGAAACTGGAAGACATTCGCCCACCCCCACTCTCCCTCCCGTTTTACCCGTATCACTTTATACAACGGAATTTTTAGACTGAGCATTTTACATTGGAGACTGACCTTTTTAATAGGTAATAATAATAATAGTACTAATAATAATATTGACGTTTCTACTCGATCTCGAATTAATGAATAAAATTAGGAATAAAGGAAACAGAAAGATTTATACCAATTTTTCTGCTGGCGCTGCTTTTAGAAAAAAAAAAAAGAAAAAAACAGGTAGTTCGTGCAGCTCCTCGTGCCTTCCTCGATATTTTTTGATATACCTGTTCTTTTTTAAAATAATTTTTTGACTATGTATAGACATGCGACTGTTACAGTTAAACCACTTTTTTTACACTCACACGTGAAATACGTTAATATTTATATATATCATATACACATAGACGATGAGATTTGCATCGTTTATATACATTTTGTATGTAGATTCTTACCAGGGACTTTAACGTCATCGAAGGGTCATCAACGTCATCGTTATCATCGTTATCATCGTTTTCCTTTTGCCATTTGATAATTCTTCGGAACTCTATATACGCGATATCGTTCCTGTTCTCTCTTACGCTTCTTCTTCGTGTCCTCCATCTTCATTTTCATCTTCACTCTTCTTCCTCATTCTTTTTTTCTCACACTTTCATCCTTCCCTCGAATGAATTTGTTTATTTTCTTAGCGTTCCTCGCGAATCACTGCATTGTAATCTGTCTGTTTTTTATTATTATGAAATGAAAGTAGAAATAAATGTTTTTCCATTCAAGGACTGGTTTTTTTATTTATTCTACACACACCAAACACGACATTGCCTTGCAATGCCGATCCTTATATTTTCGGTAAATTATCGTCTCACTTTGGCTTGAATGGAAAAACGGATTTTCGGAATATATGAAATTCTTGGTACTCTTTATTCCCTTTTTATTTTGATACAAACGTTCGACTATCATTGGCAATCAATTAAATAGCTTATATAACGTCTTTCGGAAGTTTATTGATGATCCCGACTATCGTCTTATTATGTTCCCTGTCTTGAACTTTTTGATTTCTCTATTTGTATTTCGAACTACTTTATTCTCCTTGTCATTATTCATTCGTACGTCATTTTCGAAAAATACGTAATTTAACATAATTTTTACACGTTTTTGCAGTCATCTTTAACTATTAATAATATATTAAATCCTATTCCATTTGAAAGAGCCAATCGTGAGATATTATGTAATTTTTTTTTTTAATCACTCATTCCAGTAGAATTATTCACGTAATCAAGTAGCTTCCACATCCTGGCAAAGTAATAGAAAAATTCTGGTACAAGCAAAAGATTTTCAAAAGAACAATACGATTGGCCACAGTAATATTTTGAAGACCTTTACGCATGCCTTGTTAGATCTTTCCCTGTACCAGGATTTTTATTCATTTTTTTCATATCCAAACGTATACATGGATACTAACTGTAAGCAACTGCAGATACTAACAATAAGTAATTTGGTGGGTATATAATACTTATTAGCAATCATAAAAATATATTGGATGTAGTAACAAGTAGAGATAAACATAAATATTTATATGTGCATAGACCGTACGATATAATTATTTTTCATCTATGAGATTATTTATATCTATTTAACTTTTTTAAATTTTACGATATTTCAGCCTCGGGTACCGGCGGTCAGGAACGAAGAGTGAGCATGCGGTTGCATCGCGTGAATGCAGCTGCGGCCGCAGCTGCCGGGGAGATGGCACCGAGGTCCAAGTGAGTTGCTTCGTAGTCTACTGTACGATTGGGATACGTCCGCGTATCTCTCTGGGTCTTCTTTTCACTCCCCCCACCCCTCTCCAACCTTCAATGGTAGAATGAAAAATGGTGTCTATGCTGGGTATACATATTTGAGAATAGGTATTTTACAATGGATCGGAACGGACTGAAACCACGCAGACGGCCTATGACTGATACGGGTAGAATGAACTGGACATGAGCATGGACGCGGACGGGGACGGGGACGTGACCTGCAGTTGCAATTTTGTACAACCTAATACAGAACGCTTGAATTGTAACTGAAACTTCGTTTTACGACTAAATCACAATGACTCGAATGAACGAATAATTAATTAACGGCTTATAGAAACCGGACGTTGCCGTCCGACGAGCTGATGTCGCGATACCGTGGCACGATTTCTGCTACTAATTCTGATATCCTGTGACTTTCATTATTTTTTTCCGTTAATACTTTTCGAGGAAGCAAAGGAAAGAAACGAGATAACGAATTCGAGAACACAAATCACGACACTCTAATTGCTTGTGGGTTTTTTTTTGGTCCAGGGTGCTGGCTATTACCTTCTTCATTATTTGTCTATCTTGTATCATTTGGCTGCGTGAAGGGATCTTTTGTTGGGATTTTATCTTTATGATATTGTTGCACCATCTGGTTGAAGAAAAGCATGTTACTCTGGCCGCGAACTTAATTGGCGTTGGGTAATAGCATCGTTAACTTATATCAGGCGAAAGGATTCAATAATTCTCTGTGATGTACATCGGAAAGAAAGAAAGAAAGGAGAGATCGGGGAATAGGAAAAATACACAGAGAATTATTACGGCCGATCCTGTTATATGTTTCTAGCGATATGTTATGTATATCCTGTCCATCTGGCGGCCAATTGCACGAAACTCGTCGCGCGGCAGTTCTCTCTTCTGTCCTTTCTTAATGATTTGAAGCCGCCCTTTAGACCAGAAAACTCTTGTTAGCACTCCATGAAATGTTCTCCATTGTATTTGCAGGTAACCGAAATCTAGGAAAAAAATGAGCTAGGTCGCGATACGCGAGCGCGGACTCGAAACCGAAAGCGCAACCGATAGTAGAACAAAAAAAAATGCAGAGCCGGGAGGTGAGAACCCCAGGAACAGAGATAAATAAAAAAAAAGACAGAATTCACACGGGCTCGCAACCAAAACACAAAACAGAAAAGAAAGCACAGAAACCAAGCCGATAAGAATATCATCTCCGTGGGATGCGTTATAGACGAATTAAAATCAATTGCGGGTGGGTCTATGGGCGGGATAATATATTAGAAATTGGAACGGAATTAATAGTCCGTACATGGAATACCCTGTGCCACGGTAGAGGACCCAGACGATACGACTGGATGGACTATCTTGCGTGTCTTCCTTCCGTTCTCGTTCCAGTGTCGTTAAATAAAGAGAAATGCGATTCGAAAACAATGGCAAAGACACACAAAAATTGTAGAAACGAACATTAGAGAGAGAGAGAGAGAGAGAGAGAGAGAGAGAGAGAGAGACGGTGGCACGCTAATGTCGCTCTTTGTGTGTCTTTTGTTTTGGAAGCGCCAATGCGACGGCAATGGCCCCACCGCCGCTGGTGGTCAGGCGGGCAAGCGTTCAACACAACAAGTGAATCAGCAGCAAGCCAAGAACCATCAGAGTTCATCGGGGGTCACGGCCAGCCGACACTCCACGTCCACGTTGCCACCGGGCAATCGTCAAGCACGCAAGTAACCTGCTTTATCTCACGAGAAGGACGAAGACGACGCAGAGGACCAGGACGATGATGATAGTGATCATGATTAGATATCGATAATGATGATTATTATGATGATTATAACGATGAAGATTACAAAAGTGATGACTATGATAATGAAGGACTCATTATCCTTTGAATATTATCGACGGATCGACACCCTGATAGTAGATGCAGCAGGTGGGGGCTTTGCGAGAACCACGTGGAATGTGTAGATTAAGAGACTGGAGGATGTGGAATGTGAGATGCAGACGTGAGCCGGGGTCACGTGACGTGGTTTTGTAAAATTTTTTAAAACTTCTACCGCCCTACGTGCTGGCGTGTATTTATTTTGAAAGTCAAACTTTTGCACTCGTGCGTACTGCTAGCGCTATTTGTAACGAATCGTTGACGTTGGAATACTTGAGGTTGTTGTATGAAAATAAAAGAGTGAAAGGGAGAGAGAAAGAGAGATAGACGTATAATCGCAAAGAACAGTCGGGATGAATGAAGAGGTAATTTGGATTGAGTATTCAAACGACAGTGTTTATAACGACCGTTCTAGCATTACCGAATCATCGTCTAGCGATGGCAGGTTAATTGAAACGCCATGAAAGAGAGATAAAGAAAATCTCCAATTTTCATCTACCGTTATGACAGTTCGCCTTTTTTATACGACGCCGATCATTCACCAGAGACTAGACAGCTGCGTTGTTAGAGCATTGGTCTGCGTGTGCGTATGTACGTCAATGAGCGATTGTTTAACTTTGTGACGATGAGTAATTATGCGCATTTGTTGTATCATACCAAGACCGGGAGAGTGTGCAAGACAGGATTATAGAAGGAAGGAAGTGAAATTCAAAGTTTAGGAAAGAAATTTAGTTGAGCTAATGGTTGAGGATATACGAAGATGATTATGTTGACTCCGGTGAATCATTGTTGAGAGCCTCGAAGCGACCCTTGGCAAATCTGACAACCCGGTGCACATGCACAATAAGTTCATAGTACTAGGATAAATAAGTTCGGTATGTGAACCTGGGGTAGCGGTGGCCATAGTCAGGGTAACTCGTGGAGCAATTTCTCCAGGTGGTCGTACTCTGGGTTCTGGTAACGAAGGTTGATTTACTTACATGGCGGATTGGATGATAGTAACCTGGAAGTTGTTGGCCTTCTTGTACCTGACCCACAATCCCGTCTTGTATAAAATAAAGTAATGACGCAATTATACATCTAATGAGAAACAAAAAAAAAAATAACAAAACGTGATAAAAAGTTATATATAAATATATTATACCGACACGTGTTTTTTCTATGTATTTTCATTTTCATTTTACTTCTCCGTGTCTCTTATTCTCAATCTTTTTTATTATTATTATTATTATTATTATTTTTCGTCGATAGGTACCACTGCGTTGTTATATGCGGTTACGCTTTAAAGTGAATAGAAGAAATAGTTATGAAATGCGTAAACTATGTGAGAAGCACTCGAGCGAATCTACTCGAGATTTGAAGATAATCTTTTCGCGCCACGCGTTTCGCATCTTTTAAGACATTTACTTGTCTCGAGATTGTGATTAGAATTTTTTTCTTATTGTCTCCCATTACGTCTTTTGTTTGTTCTTCCAAAAAAAAAAAAGAAAAAAGAAAATCGAAAAATCCATTTCCGTGACTTTCATCTATATAAGATTTTCACTCTTGCCATTTCACCTGCTAATTCATATGCGATGGCACTGCCAAAACGCTTTGCAGCGTCCGTTTTCCCACATTTGCGTTGGACACTTTGATACTGTTTTTTACATCAATCAAACATTGCTCTTCTTCGTTTTACATGGCAGCCTCGCGACGCGCACAGCTTGCCGTACAAAATGATTCTTTTTGGCGAACCGCGTCGTCAGCCACAACTTTACACATGAACTTTACTCAAAATATAATTTTACGAGGGAGGTAGAGCGATAGGATAATTTTACGTTTGGAGAGGGCACGCGTTTCCGAGTGTAAAGCCAAGAGGGTTGAGTTAACGAATATAATGAAAAATGAAATGATTTTTGTTCCGAAAAAAAATTGTTCGCGTTAGACGTGAATCAAGTAGTTCAAATACGACTTTCATTGTTATATAGTTCCTGCATCATAGAACCTGTTAATTTGTTCTTTTTGTTTTTGTTTTTTAAAAGAAAAGCGCATTTTATTACGTGCGACTCGTCCGCGCGCGCGCCTGTCTGAATGTAGCCAGAATTGTGCGAGGATTGAAACTTCTTGCCGAGGTACGAGAGCCTTATCGGCCTATTATGTAGGAATGAACGAACGGTGTGCGAGGAATTCTAAAAGGAAAGAAAAAAGATGGAAATTTACAAAGAGCATAAAAGGAGCGTTTCCTGGGAGAATCATAAAAGATTTTGCTCGAGTGCGTATGGTGTGCGTCGTACGTATGGAGTGTGTACGTGTATCACGATGAACAATCCACGAGCAAGTGTTTTAGATGTATAACCGCTGTATCGAGTCGAACGGTTTGTATATGTATATACAATTATTATATAATCAAGTAAGGAGTTACATAATAAAGCAGGATGTACCATGAAAGCCGATGCCGTGAGAAAGAGAGAGAAAGAGAGATTGTGTGTGTGCGCGCGTATGAGAGAGAGAGAGAACTAGAAAGTGTGTATGCGAAGAAAAAGGAACAACGAGAAAGATGGATAAGGATTGAGGAAAAAGGTTTATGCTAAAAGAAAATTTTAAGAAATTACGAAAAGGAAGTAGACGTTGAGATGCAATGTATGTTTACGTGTATTGTTTAAATTGGAGCTTTATAGTTATGCGAGTTGAGATGATCTGTATGCAGGGGAATTAAGCAAAAATAGCCTATTCACAATGATCTCGTAAATGCAATGTTTTGTAATTATTTATCAGTTTATATTAATGTAGTGCTTGTGGTCGCTACGTAGTCACGTCCACTTTTTGTTTACTCCACCCGGCTGGTTGATGCGCGCAGTTACGCAGTAGACGCTCGCATCCCATTGATTGACAGACATTGCTTCAGTACTTTTGCAAACTAAGAAATTTTAAGGGAACTTTTATTAGATGTTTTTGCTTTTTCCGGCTCTACGTCTCTTCGTTTCAATATATTCGCTTCAAAGAATTCAGGGAGATTAAAGATAATGCTACTCGAAATATTAATCTATATTCGTTTCTTAACACTCTTTTATATATTACAACAAAATCATGATAAGTTTAAAGTTTAGAAATGAAAAAGGAAAAATCCTTTTCTATGAAAGACTCGAAGAACTTGGTATGATTATGGTGTGAATGCGTGAGTAGAATGTCGCGAGAAATTGCCCGAAAGCGCAAAAAAAATCCTTAAAAAAAAATACAGGAATACCTATCTACTGAAGTATAATCCTTCGGGATGTGATGAAATCAATTTTTTTTTGTGAATTTCCTCTTTTTTTTTTCTTACTTAGCTCTTTAACCGTTACTGACCCAATCCCTTAATGTATCTTATGTATATAGCATAATTGCAACGGCAATGTAATGACAATTCTTACAAAAGATTCTTACACACAGATATACGTACATCTGGTATTCAAGAAAGAAGAACGTGATGAATGTGCAATAAACGATGATGGCGAAGAGAAGAGAAATAGAAAGAATGGAAAAACATAATAATTTTACTTTTGTTAGATTTCACACGTTATCAGGAGAATATTTAATGATTGTATCGGTTTTTTTATTATCCACTTGATTTTCAATCATTGCACTTCTCTCTACGTGGCAAGAAATCCGCCATCAACCGGCAAAGCGACACCATTGACCATGCTGCTCTTATCGCTGAGTAAGTAGACAATTGCATCTACCACCTCGTCCACTTCTGTAATAATAAAAAGCGCATTGAGTTTTACCGTATATTAACGTATTGTTGCTGACATGTTTTCATTACTATCGCGATGACGCTTTCCATGATAAACTGTCCTATAAGTCATCATAATTTACGATGTCATAATCGCAGGCTTATCGTAACGTAATATTTTTGTTTTCCACTTTGTATTATTAAAGTATTTATTACGCGCCTAGACTTACCAGCAAATCTACCCAGAGGTATTTTACTTATCATCGACTGAGCTTTGTTAGGATCACTCCAGCCCAGCCGACCCATTTCCGTAAGGACCACTGTGGGGTTCACGGTGTTCACCCGGATGTTACGTGGCCCCAATTCCAAAGCCATGACCCTGGAGGAAAACATATAAGCTTTGTAGTGATATGTGCAGATGGCACTACTGTTAATAACTTACTTTGTTAATGCGTCTACGGCACCTTTTGAGGCACAGTAGATTGCATGATCCTTCAATGCTGCCTGACTGGCTTGCGACGATACGTTCACGATGCTTCCACCACATTTTCTCTCTATTATATTCTTGGCTACGACCTGGGAGGCATTTACGATTCCCTTGACGTTCACGTCCATCAGCAGGTCCACGTCTTCTGGTTTCACGTCTAGGAATGGCGATAAACTGGCGATTGCTGCATTGTTCACCAGAAGATCTACAGGAAGGACATTCTCTATGGCCTTTCTACTGGCGTCCCAGTCGCGAAGATCAGCAACCACCGAAAGGATCCTGGGATCTTCTTGAGTCAGAGTATCCAGGTGCTTTTTCGTTCTTGAAAGTGCTATTACTGTTGCTCCATACTTTGCCAGACGAAGGGCCAAATCTCTACCGATACCTACAATGTCGGATATAAAATAAATTTGACAGAAATTGAGCGGTAAAATATAAATATAAAATATAAAATATAAATTATACGGTAACTGTATATAACTCTTAATACGACATAGAGAACTTTTAGCTTTTAAATTGAACTTCAGAATTCATTGACTCTAAATCTTTTAAAAACTAACCTTGACCGGCTCCGGTCACCAGAACACGCTTGCCTTCGAAGGAGATGTTCATGATTCCTACGATCTAGTGGTACTGCTGTATATTATCATTGTACTGATATATTTTATAGCGAACGCTACGTCGTACAAATCGAACGCTATAGAAACGTCGACGATTATGCGTCGATGTAAGATTACCAACTGCCCATAATGCAGAGATCTGTATCGTGGTACGTCGCTGCCGGTAATATCGTTACTACTGTATAGTTTAGTATTTCAACGCGTCGCATTACTGCGCGTCTACTGGCCGAGACAGTGGTGTGGAATTTGTGCATGTCAAAATAACTCTTCGAATCTTATAAACGTGACTCAAGTGCTTCCTAGAGGTACGTGATCTCCTGGACTTGTCAGGATTATGGTATTTCTTCAATTCTTTTCATAGCACGAAATATCTTATTGAATCTTTCATTTTTAGCAATGATTCGAGAGCTGGAGGTTATAAAGCTTTCATTTGCGGGAGGAAGGTGAAAACAGCGTCAGTTCACAGAGAAACGACTGGAAGTATCGGCATCCATCGACGAGATGTCAGCACACGCATTTCTCGGTAACGGCGGACCTCTTCATCGTGCTCTCATTTTTATGCTTAAACTAGGCTGGGCATCACGATTTCGACTTCCTGCACTCATTGTGGTAGCGTTTGTCGCCATGGATATGAGAATTCAAGTGCAAATTGACATGGACATTGGTAATCGTGATGAAAATCATCAAAATGATTAAGATATGGAAAACAAAGAATAGAAAAACGCAATTAGGATAGGAGAGTAGGAGAAAGATGAATTATTTTTTAAGTCCTGTATAATAGCAGTAATGATACTCGATTTAGATTAAGTATATGTTTATCTCGGTTATTATAACTATTTTTCTGGATATCTACACTACTCAAATAAAGAAAGTACATATCCCACACTGGGCGTTTTCAGGCGATAATAACTTTAAATTTGTTGTCGAACCACGTATAATCGTGATTCAAGTCAAACGTTTTCTTTCCTGCTGACGAGTATGTGGTAATCAAATATTTCAGCAAAAAAGAAACCTTCAACTTGAAACATAGTAAATCTGATTCGAAAATATTCAAACTACCGTCACCTGAAATCGTCCGTTCTGATCAACACATTATGTTTAATCATTAGATTCGTTCTCAGCATAAGAGTTGTTTTACTGTTAAGAAATATGATATACAACTCTAATAAAATGTTGAAGGAAATCGCCCATTTTTATAATTTATACATATAAATTATGAGTTTTTTGCTATACGGGTCTCAAAATTCTTGCACAATCTGACATGTTATTTGCTTTGACCATCTTCGTTAGAGACCCGTTACAAAGTTCCATAAACTAATACTCGATAAGGAATCACCTAAAGTTTTATTAATTATTAAATGATCATTAAATCATAACTAAATAGGAGAAGCAGTGGTAATATAAAAGAGTAACGAAAACGTAATTGGAAATTTTGAAAATACCATTAAAATGATGGGCCAGTGCTAGATTATATAATAGGCAGATATGTAGTGACTTATGCACTTGGCATTAATATTAGGCGTATAACTTAATTTTTTCCTTTTTTGTTCAAAAAATATTTTATATTATATAATATATAAATATCAGATCAATCTTCGAAATATTGTCCATTGTTTTCGACGACCTTGCGCCATTGATCGGGCAACTTACAAATACCATCGAAAAAAACTTGCAGACTTTGAGGCGATAAAATCGTCGACGAATTTTCGTACATCGTTCAAAGTTTGGGAGCGGCTATCCTTCAAGGCATGCTGCTTTGACCGGAACAGGTGATAATTCGATGGGGCCAAGTCAGGTGAATATGCCGCGTGCGGGAGAACTTCCCAGCCCAAGCTTAAAATGGTTTTCTGAGTGGCGTAAGCAACATGAGATCGAGCGTTATCATGGAGCAGCATAACTTTTCGGCTTTCTTGTCCAGTAGATGGCGTATTCTCATCAAGTACCTCGTTCAATTTGTTTAATTATCGACTGTAGCGATCTGCAGTAACTGTTTGACCTGCTTCCAAAAGTTCATAATAGAGTACACCCTTCATATCCCACTAGATGCAGAGGAGAACCTTTTTCATGTGGACTTTTTGTTGGGGAGTAGATGTCGATGGTTGTCCAGGATCCACTCATGATTTTTTGCGTTTGGGATTAGCAAAAAATATATATTTTTCCTCTGCCGCCACAATTTTCCACAGAAAGTTTTTCTTTTGGTGCTTGGCGAGCAGTGAAAACACGTGTTCATTCATTGACCAAAGTTATGTTCAGTCAATTCGTGTTGAACCCATCTTCCTTCCTTTTCGATTTTTCCCATTGCATGTAATCGTTTGGAGATGGCTGCTTGTGTAACTCCTAGCTGAGCTGCAAGCTCTTTTTGGGTTTACGTTGAGTCTTTGTCGAGTAATTCTTCCAATTCATCATCTTAAAATTTCGGAGGCTGTCCAGAACGCTCCCGATCGCTGAGATCGAAATCACTATTTTTAAAGCGTCTGTACCAATATTTATACGTATCATAAGACACGACATCATTACCGAGAGTAGAACAAATCGAATTGCACGCTTTAATGGCTTTATACTTTTTAGATTCCAAAAAAAAAAAACATTCACTCACTTCTGTCTGTCCGTCTGCGGTAAATTCTATCCGAAAACACATTAACTTTTCAATGAGGCTACGGATAGCAATGAAATTCGTTGTGTGTCTTCTGTGTATAAAATGTAGTTTTGGTATTGTAATCGACACCAAAACACCAATTCGTTCTGACACTTTACCTGAAGTGTGAAAAATAAAAAAAGTTTTCTATCGATCGTCTGATTAAAAAATTACTATCCTCTAGTCTGCAGTGTACAGAACTTTTTTTGACCAGTCTTATGAGAGCCAATAGAAAAGTCTCTTTGGTATACGTCAATATCTAGACGTAGATACAATAGATGCAACTCGATAAAAAACTGACTAAACTAAAAGAATTCTCTATTTCAACTCTACTTACATTACTCAATTGTTAACATGAAGTAATTTCATAACCGTAACGTGATGCCAGTAACAATCGTGATGAAAAAGGCACGTGTTGCGATCAGGCCAGTAGCACTTTTTTTCCCTTGTTGGAACTTGTAGAGAATGCAGTGCCGAACGTGGTGTTTATCGGTCGCCATCGTATACAGTAACGTCCAATTGAAGTGCAACACTTAAATTTTTTTAGATATCTGTGAAAGTATGACAGATTTCGAAAAACCAAAGACATATTTTTTAGGAAATTTCCTTCCTTTGTTCCATCAATTGTTGCTCTTCAATTGGACGTTACTGTATATGTACTACTGTTTTGTGAGGTTATACAGCTGTCCCCGTTATGAGACATAGTCTATGAGAAACTTTAAGGTTAACTCTTCAAAACCGGAAACGGCCGTGCAAATATTTTAATTTAAAATAGGACTCCCTACTTACTGAAAAAAAAGGGAATAATTAAATTATACGCCTAACATATTTTCACTGTACAATTTCTTATTTTCACTGCATATATCTCAGAAACGATACGGCTAATTCTTTTGGGATTTGTCACGCATGAAAATTACCAGCCAAGAACATTAAAAATTTTCATATCGGTTAGTTAGGTCCGTTGTAAAACTCGTTCCTAATAGTGTTTTGCGTTCCCATTTGCTAAGGGCCAATATATAGCAAATCAATAAATATATAGAAATATTGCTACTAGTAACTAGGCCAGTTTCCTAAAAGCGCCACTCTGCTTAATCGTTTGAAACTATCATAGAATACTTCATATGAAAATACAATTTAGGGTCTGCATCGAAACGCGAAAACGTTGATCCAGGCAGATATCACAGAGTGATATATTGACTATTAGCAAGTTGTACAATGAATCATGATTTTATTTGTTATATAATAATATCTACAATAAAAATACCACATCGTTTGAAAAACAATTTTCGTTACAATTATACAGTAATTTTATATAATAATATAATATATTTAGGTTTCGTTCCAAATAAGATGTAGCGATGAACATTCACCTCGCTGTGGGAGTGAGAAAATACATTACTTCTTTTTGCAAATTCCACATCGATTTTTTCACTCAGTATTTTTTTTTTGTAACCATCGACGTACACTCGAAACGATAGCGCCGTTTATTTAAAGAACGCCCCATCGCGTTTTGAAAAAGTGTCGGATGGTTGCGCAGGCTCGTCGTCTCGAGCGTGAACGTCTTTTCGTTTAGCGTGCACCCGCAATTCACTTTGAGATTTACAGAAAAAAAATTGGATCAGAACAATCCAACCTTAACATCTCGCCTTATATCTCGAATCCTCGCTTACCTAAAATGCTACACTTAGTTAATAGTACCGTAATGTCATCTCAATATATATAATCGTATTAGTTATTACCATAATATATAGAAAATACATATAACAATTATTTAAATGACTCACAATCAATCATTTTTTTTTTATTCTGTAATATATTAATCGGTATTAATTACATGATATCATTTTATACACTCGTCAATTGGGATGGGAACGAAGGGATGCTCCGAATGCATTGTTAAGTGGGAGCGAAGGGATTAAGGAATGGTTATTATTCCTTATGGCAAAGGGTACTTTTAGTCTGTCGCAAAGAGGTTATGAGGCGAAGGGATGGAAAAAACGGGTAAAACTTTTAATAGATTTACATTGTCTTTGCCGTACTACTATTAGGTGAACTTTACCAGAATGTATTCGATATTTTACAAACTTTTGTCTATCATTGTACTGTTGTACGTATCCTTGCCCTAACGAACAGACTATTCGTTTGCGCGTTCGCAAAGTGCACGTAATTTCGTCAACGTAGCGCGCACATTCACGACGAATTGTCCTTTGTTTGATTTTACTTTTTTGAATCTCTCTTCGAGCATCTCGCGAGACCCATTCACATTGTGTCTTTTTGAAATCGTGCTTCGTGCTCGGACCCCGGTACACACATTTCAGATTAATCGTCATCGACATAACGTGTAGGAAAAAGGGATTCTATTCGTTAATCGAGATAGGCATGTATCCTTCTCTTTTTTAATTGTCGCTTTTGTAATCCCTTATCTTTTTTTTTTTTAAATATTATTGTTATATCTCTTTCTCATTCCTCGATACTCGTCTAAGCAACGCGTGGATCGTTTATCAATATCCTGTTTTATTTCCTGCCTATCTATACTGCCCTCGCTTTGGGCTTCATCCATTATTCTACTTTCGGTACATTCATACTTATCAACGAATTCTTGGACAGTGAACAATCATTTATATTATTATCCTTTCGACAGAGCTGTCGGATATCGAGAAATCTGACGTAGTCGTATTTATACAGTACGCAACGCGTTAACAAAGTAGAAGTAGAGGAAGAAGAAGGAACGAAGCAGATCCTTGAAATTTGCACGTGCATTCACTTGTGACAATTTACGTGCAAATTTAAAAATGTAGTAGTGAGTTTTTTTTTTTCAATCATATCACTGGCAAATACGCGATTTGCGAAATTTGCAAATCCGTCGATTTATACGCGGTCTCCTAGTACGTACTTGCGAAAAAAAAAAGTTGTCAATCATCTTTACCTTGGTGTGGACAGGCATGTGGGTACTACTGTAGGTACACTACATATTTTCTCATCTCGTTAATTTTTTTTCTATCCCGTTCTCTCAGTCTTTCTCTCCCACTTTCACTCTAATGCACTTTCTCACTGTCTCTCTTTCGGGATTTTTCTATTTTGTTTCGTTCTTTCTCTCTCTTTCAATTTGTCACTCTCGTACGTCTACGTAAACGTGATTTCCTTTTTGTATTATAATATACGACATCGAAATCCTGCCTTCCCCGAATTCTCGTGCCCTGATTCAAGTCTCTCTGCGCGATCGATAAAGTTCGTTAAGTATGTCGATACCCAATTGTAATAATTATATATTAGGATACCGATAAGGATATAATTTCGCATTGTCCATACACGCGAGGAGAGATAGTCGCGGGTTATGATGATTAATTATCAGATTTTGAAAACGGGTTAACGTCGGGTGTACGCATCGAGTGAGCGCCTATTAATAAATTCAGGCCAACCAAATTCTCACAGGACGCGAGATAATTGGCGACGTACGTAACATACATAGTGACGCGACAGTGAAAACTTTCGAGAATCCATGAATTTTCGAAAAATTTTTTTATTACGACGACAGCATTTTAAACGAATTGAAACGTTTATAAATAGATAAGTTGAAGCGTCAGCAAGGAGGAGGTTAACAGATTTTGGAAGATGCTGCCAAAGTCGGATAGTAAAGTTTCTAGTGTCTAACAGTCGGAATTTTTGTTTAATCGCATTAAATTCCATCGTTAAAACTTTCGAAAAGATTCACATTTTTTTTTTCACTTTTTTTTTTTCTATTATCC